AGGTTGGGGCAGGGAAGAGGGGACTGTCCTGGGGGTCAGGATGCCTAGTTTCTAGTAGGCTCAACCACTGACTTCATCATAATGGTAACTGGTATCATTTATTGAGCTCTTGCTTTGTGTCAGATGCTGTGGAGATACAAAGTTAAAACAGACAAAGTACTTACCACCTAGCACCTTGATGATACATAATGCATGGACAATACAAAGATAATTCGCTTTGATACAGGTAGCAGCATAATGAGCCATAAATGAGGTACAGACATCAGGCTAATGGGGCCACTTATGTGTTTAGTCTTTTAGACTCTCGAGCATCTTCATTCCAGGATGGTGCTGAAGCCATTTCTCCTCAGCAGAGCAGTAGGGACTCCTGAGCCTAGGGGTGGGTTGAAGTATCTCCTCCTCATCAGAGGTGGCTTTGGTAGAGTACATAGCAGGGGGTTACTGCTGGCCTTTGTCTGGGGATGGCAGCTTCTCCTGGAATTCTTTACTCTTCACAGATCTCTAACTTTTTCCACTCACCTCCTCCATCCCTCCCTCTCGACCTCCTGGATTTCCTCTTTTGCTTCACCTCTTTCTTACTTTCCTTCCTTCCCTACTCCACCTCTCCCTCCCAATCCATCTACTGTGTCTTGGAGTCTAGGCCCAGAACATGCTGAAGAAGGTGGAAGGCTTGGAGAACCTAAGCAATCTCACCACCTTGCATCTTCGAGACAACCAGATTGAAACTCTGAGTGGCTTTTCTGGGGAAATGAAATCACTGCAGTACCTCAACTTGAGGTATGTACCCCCTCCAAGTGTACCTTGCTCCTACCCCTGACCAGGAACAGCTTTTGACCCTCAGTTCCTCTCTGGCCCTGACCCCCCAAACCTGCCACTACCAGATCCTCACTCATCCTCCATCCTGACCCTCACTCCTCCTTTCCTTACTTCTGCACTCAGTCCTAATTGTCAAACTAAGGCCGTTATAGCCTGGGACCCCTGAATCCTTATTCATTCAGTCCAGAATTATTGAGAATGTGCTATGTGCCAGACCTTGTGCTGAGTTTTGGGAATATCTAAAGGAATCAGGGACAGTCCCTGTCCTTAAGCATTTATAGTCTGGCTGCAACTCTCTTTTCCTAGCTCTACCTACAATGGTTAAATGCTTGGCTGCTAACCAAAAGGTTGGTGGTTTGAACCCACCCAGAGGCACCATGGGAGAAAGACCTGGCAATTGCTTCTGTAAAGATTATGGCCTAGGAAACTCTATGGGGCAGTTCTACTCTGTCACACGGGGTCGCTATGAGTTGAAAATCAACTCAGTGTCACCTAACAACAACAACCACCCCCTTATGAGTTTCCTTTGTCCTTCTCCATCTCCTAGGCCTCAATTCCCCTTTCCATTTCCTGACTTTCTTCCCCTGAGCCCCACCTGTAAGGGATGGCCCCCTTACTGATATAAAACTCAAGATGTGCTCAGATTTGAGGAGAGAAGAGCATTTGAAAGAAAATCTCCACATAGGAAGGTACTGGAGACCTGGGGAATTTTCTTTCAGCAACTCTTCTCTGATGGAGGATATTATGTGTGTTTCTTTAACAAAGATGTAGGGAAACTGCCTCCTTCCTTAGTGAACAAGACCACATCTTCAAGGTTGGCAATAGAAAGAAAATAATCTCCAAGTGGACAGAGGTGATTGCCCTTTGAAGCTCCAACTCCTGTCCCTCACCCAGGGGCAAACTCTTGCTAATTAGCTCTATCACATTGCTCTGGTGGTGGTGGTGCTGTTCTTTTGTTAACCATCTAGACAGGGATAAGGGACTCTTCTTCAGTGGCTGCTAACTGGAGATGTTTGGAAGTAAGTGTATGTGTGTGGGGAGGTGTTTTGGGTTGTCTCAATGACTGGGAGGTGCCTCTGAGGCCAGAGATGCTAAACATCCTGCAATGCACAGGACAGTCCAGCACAAAATGCCTGTAGCACTCCCAATGAGACACACTGCATGAAGTTCAGCACCCCATTGGGATAAGGTTGAAACATTTAGAAGTCACAATTTCAGAAAGGCTTGAAGATAAAAATATGAAAATACATAATAGGGGCCCTGGTGGCACAGTGGTTAAGTGTTTGGCTGCTAACGAAAAGGTTGGCAGTTTGAATTCACCAGGTGCTCCTTGGAAACCCTATGGGGCAGTTCTGCTGTGTCCTATAGGGTCGCTATGAGTCAGAACTGACTCGATGGCAGTGGGTTTGTTTTTTTGGTATTGTATAATGGGGCACATTAGGAGATGAAGCTGGTTTTTCAGGCTAAGAGATCCCAACCCATCTGTAGCTCTAAGTTCTTTCTTGTGAGGAGCCCCAACATGGTACCCACCACCCTAAGCCTATGCTTAGATCCCAGTTCTTCTCCACTGGCCTAGTTCCTACCTTCTAACCTCTGATTAAGTGTGATTTTCACAGAAAAAGTCTGTTCCTGCCAGGGAGATTTCCTGCTTCCTCTCCAACTACAAGACAGAGTTATGGCCTAGCTTTGCTGCTGCAAAAGGATAAAGACAGCACATTACAGGATATAATTTAGGACTTATGGATTCCTAGAAGGGCGGAAGCAGAACAGCAGTAGGGTTGGGTGACACCTCTGCAGCAGTACTGCCAATCCATAGGGGCAGTGTTTCTAGGGAAACAAGAGCCCAGTAGGAGAGTCCAGAGGCCCCATTCCTGGCAGGTTGGCCCCTAAAGCCCATTATTCCTGGGTGAACCCCTCCTGACCCCACTGGCAGGGGCAATATGGTGACTGACCTGGGGGAGCTGGCCAAGCTGCGGGACCTGCCCAAGCTGCGGGCCTTGGTGCTGCTGGAAAACCCATGCACAGATGAGAGTGACTACCGCCAGGAGGCCCTGGTGCAGATGGCACACCTTGAACGGCTGGACAAGGACTTCTATGAGGAGGAGGAGCGGGCTGAGGCTGATGAGATCCGTCAGAGGATGAGGGAGGACCAGGAGCATGAGGCTGAGCATGATCACGAGGAAGACCTGGACCAGTCACCGAACTAGCAGCAATTCTAGCCTCTGAAGATGGTAAAAAAGCCAGCAGAAAGGCAGGAAGAGGAGGCCATGGCGGTGGGGGGCGGGGGGAATAGGGAATGAGAAGTTGCTGCAGGAAGAGGTAGGTGAAGGAGCAGTGAGGGAAGGGAAAATGCAAGGAGAACCCTTGGAGAGATCAGGGTTAGTAGTTAGGGTGCATCTCTGGTTGAGAAAGAACCTGAAAGGCCTGGGAGGAGCTGAGAAAAAGTTTAGGAAACACATCAGGAGGCTGTAAGAATAAGTGAAAAGAAATGGGGTAGTAGCAGAGGAGTTGGAGGGTGGTTGGGCAGCCACGCCTTACACAGAGGACAGGACAGACCCAGGCCTGTGGAGGGTAGATTGGCGGTGGTGTATGAGAAAGCATGGCTGTGCCTGGGAGAGAAGACAGGAGAGAAAGATCCTGCACTAAAAATCTGAAGCTGAAAATAACAGACAGGACACAGGGGAAAGGGTGGGGTGGATGAAAGGAGGGAAGGGTGAGGCAGAAAGAAACTGAGATGATCCCAGGAAGTTGTGGCAGCTGGGGCATTGGATGGGGCAGAGGCAGAGACTGGGAGGCAGGAGGGCCCAGAGGCTTTACTTCTGTCCTCTTCCTCCAGGAGATAAAGGCACTGGCCCCAAGACCTGGCATGACTACCAGTGGGGCCACCACCTTCACATCCCGCATCAGGGCAGAGGATGCCTGCTTTTGTCTCCGAGCTAAGAATTCAGCACAGCCTGCCGCCCAAGCTCTGTGCCGGTACCCTGGACAGTGTGGGGTGCTGGTGGGCCTGTGCTCTGCACTCACCCTCAGGCGGGGGGCAGCCCTCACGCAGATCTGGGTGGGAACCAGGCTTGGATTGACTGGATAAGCCCACCAGATGCTTGTAGAGTTGGCTGAGAACTCTGGAGGCAGAGGCAGGGTGGGGTGTTTAGGAACAGCTCAGTTTTCGAATAAAGAGACATTTTGATACTCTCGCGTCTGAGCTGTTTTGTGAGACATTGAGTCTGTCATGGGCTTCACTGGCAGTGTGGGCTTCAGTTCCGGGATTAATGGAGTGAGGATGTGTCTCTTACTTTCTAGTGGGTCGGGGTGTGGGTGTAAGCACGCATGCACCTGCGTGGGGAACTAGGTCCGGGATCGCTCCCAGCTCTTTCCCCATCCGTTTGCGGGAACGCTCCTTCCCACCCCAGCAAGTGCTCCTATGTGCTGCGCCTCCGCCGGCGGATCCTGAGTCATCGGGGGCTTCGGGTCACATGCACCCGCCAGGTCCTATCGGCGCCTCCCCCCCGTCCGCCCCCCGCCCGTAGCTCGGGAGCCGCAGCCTACGCGGCCGCCGCCACTCCTGTTCTCTCTGCGCCTCCGCAGCCGTCGCCACAGGCAGAGCCTGCAGCCCTGAGGTGAAGCCCCGGCCCGCCGGCACCCCCCCACCCGGCTCCCTCCCCTTGCCGCTGTGACTCTTGCGGGGACCTCCCCCCCAACACCGCCTTCGCGGATCTCTGTGCCGCGGCACTGCGCACCTGCTTGGTCCCCGCATCTTGCCGGCAGCCGCCTTCCCCGGCCTTCCTGGACTCCTCCTCTCGGTTTCTGGCTGTCGCCCACTCCTCACTTAGGTGCCAGGCCTCTCCGCGCCTGTTTCTTTCTTCATTGCGCCTTTCCCCACCCTTGCCTGCTTCTCTCCCTATTCCCCTCCGGCCCCCGGTTTTGTCGGTTTAAGTTCGAGGTCTCTCCTCGTGCTGTGCATTTTTATTCTGCCACGTACCTTGGCTTTGTATTTGGTGGAATGTCTTTCCTCACCCTTCCTCTCCACCCCAGACTTCTAGACTCTCCCTCTCCTCCCCCAAGTCGCCCCTCTCCTTGCTTTTCCATTTCCTTCTCCCAGCTGCACGCGGAAGGGGTGGGAGGAGGGGGGATTTGTCTGGGGACGGAGGAGAAGAAGCCTTGACTTTCCCACCGGGTCCCTCATCCTCCTCCCTCTCCACTGCAACCACAGGGACTGGAGGGCCTTCCCCAGGACCCTCTCCCCAGACTCCTCTGGGCGCCGTCTCTCACAGGAAGACGAGGAATGCACGTTTGGGAGAGAGATTGGGACCTTGGAGAGTGGGTTGAGTCTGGACAGGCTGGGGTGTTAAGTGGGGGTAGGATGGGGGGCTCTCATCCCCGGAGTAGGAGAGAGGCCGGGCAGGCCAGACAGCCCCTCCTTTTTCTCGGTCCCAGGAGAAATAAAAGCCTGGCAGCCATTCTGCTCTGAGATCTGGGGGAACCCCAGCAGCCGGCTGCCGAAGCTGCTGAAGGGGCAAGGGAACCATTGCTCCTCCCCTCCTCACTGCGGGGGTCCTTCCATCTCATCTTTACATTTTACCCTACGCCCTTCACCACCCCCCTCCCCCCGCCCGCAGTGACTTCCCCCTCCTCACTGCATTGACCTTCTTACCGCTCCATGGGGGAGGGAGGGCGGTCCCTTCTCCAGCAAAAGACTGCAGCCAGCTCCCCCCCACCCCACTGCAGTAAACTCTTTCCCATCCCTCCCTGCCCCTTGCCCCTCCCACTGATCTCAGGCGCCAGCCCTCTAAGCCTCTTATCTTTCTCCTTCCTTCTCTTCCACCCAAGGAGATCCTAGGCATCATGTCGATAGAGAGAATCTGGGCCCGAGAGATCCTGGACTCCCGCGGGAATCCCACGGTGGAGGTGGATCTCTACACTGCCAAAGGTAATGGGTGGCAGCATGGGCCTTCCCTCAGCCCCTACTTCTCCACCCCTATCCTGGGCCTGCAGAGGCCTCAAATGGGAGGCTTTCCTTGCTTCCCAGTAGGGATGAGATGCTGGGCCAAGCTCACAGCCTGGGTTGTCGGGGGTGGATCCTCCTTGTACAGGGGAGTCAGAATAGGCAGGTCTCTGTTCTAGCGTGAGACATGCCCCTCCTCTGGGTGTCTGCATGTGCACTTGTACATGTGCATACACATGTTACCTGACTGGCAGAGCTTTGTTTCTGTGGTTTCCCGCTTGTGCATGTGGGGCATCAGATGGGCGAACAAGGAGGCCACTGCATCAGGATGTGTGTGTGTTTGGGAATAGTGTGGGGGCTGAATGTGGCAGGCAGGAGTTCAGGGCTGGAAGGCAGAAGTAATCCCTGGCCCAGTAGTGTCCTTCTCTTCCCTCCTCATTCCATATTCCTCTCCTAGGTCTTTTCCGGGCTGCAGTGCCTAGTGGAGCCTCCACTGGCATCTATGAGGCCCTAGAGCTGAGGGATGGTGACAAACAGCGTTACTTAGGCAAAGGTGAGGCCCCTTCACCTTTCCAGGCTCTCCCACCCCTCAGCCCTCACACCAGTTCCCAACCCTCTTTTAGCATGCCCTTCCCCCTCTTTTCTCCTTCTGCCACTGGCCCCTCCTAGCCTCACCCATCCCCACCTCTCTGCCTCTCCCCAGGTGTCCTGAAGGCAGTGGACCACATCAACACCACCATTGCTCCAGCCCTCATCAGCTCTGTGAGGCCCACTCTTTGCTGGGGATGGCATGACCAGGGGCCAGGAAGGAATCCTGGATGAGAGAGGGAGGAAGGGGAAGACAAAGGCCCACCTTTTGGGAATCATGGTTACAAGGGGAAGGGTAGAAGGAGACCCTTACTGCCCCCTGCTCCCATGAGGGATTCAGGTCCTCTACAGACAGTGCCCTGTCACAGGGATCTGGCTGGACCCTGGCCAGATGTGAGCCTGTGTACAAATGGGAGGCCCCTGCTCTAGGGCCCAGCCTCCATCTTGGCCGTGAGTGACGGGGGCTCTCCCCACAGGGCCTCTCTGTGGTGGAACAAGAGAAACTGGACAACCTGATGCTGGAGTTGGATGGGACTGAGAACAAATGTAAGCAGGGACTAGGAGAAAATGGGTAGGCATGAGGGTGGGCACATGAAGAACAGAGAACTGGAGGGGCCAGCACTGTGACGACTTCCTCAGGAAGGGCTGCCAGAGGACTAGCCCTTCTTCCATCCTCCTCCCAAAGCCAGAGCAGAGAAGATGTGTTTAACTTCAGTAGGAAGCAGTAATGTTAGACAGAAGGAAGGACTTTGCAGTGTAAAGAGGAGGGAGTGGGCATGAGGTAGTCTGTGGTTTCTACTTGGGGATGTTTAAAAATAGGTCAGCTCTCTGCCCTTTCCCACCATCCCCTCCCCACCTCATCCTCCTCCCTTGCTATTCGCAGGGGAGAATGGATGAGATGTGCAGATCTCTGGAAGGCCCTATTGCAGGGGTGGGGAAGGAGAGGGAGGCAGGGTCTCCTCTCCTAGCTCCTTTTGGGGATCATGGGTGGAGGCAAGGGCTGGAAGGAAAAGGGGGCCTCTTTTGCTCGATGTCCTCCTCTTTAATCTCCTAGCCAAGTTTGGGGCCAATGCCATCCTGGGTGTATCCCTGGCTGTGTGTAAGGCTGGGGCAGCTGAGCGGGAATTGCCTCTATATCGCCACATTGCTCAGCTGGCTGGGAACTCAGACCTCATCCTGCCTGTACCGGTGAGCACTTTGCGATGTCTGTACCTGTCCCAGGGGTGGGTGGGAGAGTCAGTGGGAAACCCCATGGGGAATGATGGAAGGAAAAGTGAATTGGGGTGCCTACAGAGATAGGATGGAACATGAGACTCTTGAGTGTGAGAAGCTGGGGCAAATTTGGGGTTGGAATGGCCGTGGGATCTTGGGTTAACACTCCCAGGGCGGAGAGGAAAGAGCTGTTTGACTCTTTGTCCTCCTGTGGCTCCCTAGGCCTTCAATGTGATCAACGGTGGCTCTCATGCTGGCAACAAGCTGGCCATGCAGGAGTTCATGATCCTCCCAGTGGGTGCTGAGAGCTTTCGGGATGCCATGCGACTCGGGGCAGAGGTCTATCACACACTCAAGGGGGTCATCAAGGACAAGTATGGCAAGGATGCCACCAATGTGGGGGATGAAGGTGGCTTTGCCCCCAATATCCTGGAGAACAGTGAAGGTGAGACCAGGAGCCCCACTCCCAGCTCTAAGTCCTTCTCTATCCTGGACATCAGGAAGGGCCACACTCTTCAAGTTCTTATGAGTAGGAGTAGGGGGTCCTTGAGCTCCTGGGATCCAGAGCTGCAAACTCTAAGAGGTACCAGCCCCTGGCCTAGGTACCAGAAGGCCTGCCAAATTCACATGCAGGCCTAGAAGGACAGTTTTTGCCTGCCCAGCCAGATCTGTTAACATCTGTTAAGTTCTCACTGGAGTCCCTGGGGATGCTGGGAAGTGGTCTAGGTGACCTGTGGGATCCATTCATGCTTTAATTCCATAAGGTTCTCAGTTTAAGGAGATATACCAAACTCGAGGGAATCCATTCTAAATCTCTCCCCATCCCCACAGTAACCTCTTATGCCTCTAGGATCCCTAGTTTTTCTGTGCCCCAGGAAAAACTGTTAGTGAATAGAAGCAATACAGGTAGTGGTTAAGAGTTACAATTCTGGGGCCAAATTGCCTGGATTTGAATCTTGGCTTGAAGAGTTACTGGCTGATTTTACTTACTTCTCTGTGCTTCCTTTTTCTTATCTGTAAAAAGGGGATAAAAACAATATCTACTTCCTGGGGGCAGTGGTGGTTCAGTGGTAGAATTCTTGCCTTCCATGCAGAAGACCTTGGTTTGATTCTTCGCCAGTGCGCCTCTTACACAGCCACTACCTGTCTGTCTGTGGAGGCTTGCATGTTGCTATGATGCTGAGCAGGTTTCAGCAGAGCTTCCAGACTAATACAGACTAGGAAGAAAGGCCTAGTGATCTATTTCCAAAAACCAGCCAAAAAAACCCTATGTATCACAACAGTCCAATCTGCAACTGATTATGGGGATAGTGCAGAACTGGGTAGTGTTTCATTTTGTTGTGCATAGTGTCGCCATGAATCAGGGATGACTTGATGGCAGCTAACAAAGCCTCATTGTAAGGATTAAATGAGATCATATATGTAAAGTTCCTAGTTGACATAGACCTTAATAAATGATAACTATTTAAAACAGAACAAAACCATTATTAGCAGAATCCCTTTCCTTTGCCTTCCTGGAAGATGGCTTGTCATCCTAGACTTGGGGATAACCCCAATGACCTTAGCCAGACTTCCCCCAGCAACAGTCTTCCACCTCTGCTCTGACTGTCTTTTCTTCTCTTCCATCCTTCCTTGCCCACCCATCCTGCTTATAATCTCACTGTATTCCACCTCTAGCCTTGGAGCTGGTGAAGGAAGCCATTGACAAGGCTGGCTACACGGAAAAGATTGTCATTGGCATGGATGTCGCAGCCTCGGAGTTTTATCTTGATGGCAAATATGACTTGGACTTCAAGTCTCCCCCTGATCCTTCTCGATACATCACTGGGGACCAGCTGGGGGCCCTCTACCAGGACTTTGTCCGGGACTATCCTGGTGAGGGCAGGGGGTGTGGGAGAGAGGGCAGGGGGAGGGTCAGGGCTGCTGACTCAGGTAACAGGTGGAAGTGTCCTAAGAAGAACCTGAGAAGCAGGGATAGAGTGAAGGAAACTCCTGCAGAGACTAGGCTTTGTGTGTAACATAGATGTGCAGGGACTTGTGATGGATTTGTTCCATCTGCTTTGGGTCTTGATTAACGTCATGGGCTCTGAAGCTACAAAAATCGTGGAGAGGGCTCTGGAAGGAACCAGGATGGTGAGAGGGTGACTGGACTTAGCAGGGCATGTAACTAGCACACTTCAGTATCTTTGATTGATTAAATGGTGATGCTGAAGGGATCTGGGACTGTGTGTGTAGAAAAGAAGCCTGAAGATGGACTGGGTCACCTTCTCCACATCTACCAAGGGCTTTTACCCCAGGATGGAGGCAGCTGGTCTCTCATCTTCCTGGAGACAGAGCAGGAGAAGATAGATGTAAATAGCAGAACGATTCAAATTAGTAATGAGGAAAGGCTTCCTAGCAGCCAGAATAGGAAAATGCAAAGATAGGTTGTAAGGAAGCTTCTGAACCTTTGTTCTTGGGAAGTCTCATGAAATAAGAATCAGGATTAGAATCAGGGCAGGCTTAACCCTATGGGGCAGTTCTACGCTGTCCTATAGAGTCACTGAGTCAGAATCGACTTGACGGCAATGGGTATAGTATATAGGGTATAGAGCAGGTTTGCTTTGGGGTGGGGGCAAGGATGAGCAGGCTTAGTTAGCCAGGGGACCTCTACATTTCAAGAAATCAGAGTGAGCGGGGTGGTGGTGTTTACTGCCTAATACAGAGAGCCAGGGAGGATCAACAGCACCTTCTCTGCTCCCCCTGTAGTGGTCTCCATTGAAGATCCATTTGACCAGGACGATTGGGCAGCCTGGTCCAAGTTCACAGCCAATGTAGGGATCCAGATTGTGGGTGATGACCTGACAGTGACCAATCCGAAGCGCATTGAGCGGGCAGTGGAGGAAAAGGCATGCAACTGCCTGCTACTCAAGGTCAACCAGATCGGCTCAGTCACTGAAGCCATCCAGGCGTGAGTGACTCCTACTGCACTGGACCCCCCTTGCAAGTGCCCCCAGCCTAATCCTGCCTAGGGATGCTAAAGAGAGCAGGGAGCCTAAAGTCACTGTAACTGTTCTCTCAATTCTGCTCCCTCCACCCCTGATCTTCTGTGCCCCTCCCAGTTTCCCTCTAGATGTTTCTTAACATAGACCAATGTTGGGGCTGGGAAGAGCATGCTCGGTGAGAGGGGCTGGGGTGATCAATGCAGGTGTATGGATGCAGGTGCAAGCTGGCCCAGGAGAATGGCTGGGGGGTCATGGTGAGCCATCGCTCAGGAGAGACAGAGGACACATTCATCGCCGACCTGGTTGTGGGGTTGTGCACAGGCCAGGTGAGTGGGGCAGCCCGGTGAGTGGAAGGGAGATTTTTGTGGGATTGGTGGGTTCTAGGTTCAGGCAGGTCTCTCCTTCCAGGTGGTTGAGGGTGTCAGGGGAATTTTGAGGAAGTGAAAGGGCTGCCACTGAGCTGCCAATCTTTTGGGGTGTTTCAGATCAAGACTGGTGCCCCTTGCCGTTCTGAACGTCTGGCCAAGTACAACCAGCTCATGAGGTAAGGGAGCCTGGGGAGTGGGAGCCCATAGGGCCAGAGGGTTAAAAGCTCTGTTTGCCCACCATTTCATCTCCAATGCCCACGGCCTGGATAACAGTAGATATCCAGGATATATTTATTGCTGATGGCCCCAATGACTGATCCTAGAGGTCACATGGGCGAGCATTGGACACAGGAGCAGGTGGTGTGAAGGGGCTTGGAGGCTGGAGGGATTCCTAGAGAGAGGAGCAGGATCCTCCTGCTTCCCTCACTGTTTCCTTTCTGTGTCATCTCTCTCAGAATCGAAGAAGAGCTGGGGGATGAGGCGCGCTTCGCCGGACATAATTTCCGCAATCCCAGTGTGCTGTGATCCCCCTCCTTTCCTGGAGATTTGGAACCTCTCCCCCATCCTCCTCGAACCCCTTTCTTCCTGTCTGAATCTGTGATATTTGACCCAGATACCCTGAGCCCCAGGGCACCCAGAACTTCCCTGATGAACCTGCCTCAGCTGCTCCTTGGCTTGTCCAGCCCTGTGCTGTCTCTGCTTTCTCCTTTCTGGGCCCCAATCTTTGGGTTTCCACACTCTCCACTTCTCCTTCCTTTCTATTCTCTCTTTCCTCAAAACCTGGAAATGGGGATGAGGATTACAAGGGGGTTCATAAAAGAATGATCAGGGTCTGTGATGGGAGCATCAGGGTTGGTGTGTTGAGGTGTTCAGAGTGGGGCCATGTGTCACTTGTGCTTCACGCTTGTTCCATGAGTTTTCCATGTTGCATATGAGCCATGAACTGCATATAGTGCTGAGGTGTACGTGAGTGCTGGGTGTATGGGTCATGCCTAGTCTAAAGCTTAAGTGTATGTATGTATGTATGTATGTATGTATCTTTCATTCATCCCATTAATTTTTTTCTCATATCTCTAGGGCCTAAAACTGGCCTGATTTGAAGGAACTATTGTGTCTGTATTTCATGTGGCTGTGGATTCCAGGATAATCTGGGGTGGGAGGTCTTGCTGGAATGGGAAGGGTAACAGAAAAAGGCCTTGCCATCAGTTCGTTTTTGTGAGCTCACCCTTAACTGAAGCCTGGGTCAGTCCAGGGGTGGGACTGTGTGCCTGGGGGACTCTTCCTCTATCAATCTCTCCCCAGCCCTAGGTTCCTTGTTCTTCCTCCAGCTGCACCAGAGCAACGTCTCACTCCCCCGTGCCATGTTCCACAGTTGCCACCTCTCTGTGGCACTGACAGCACCACCATTAAAGTCTAAATCACAGTGCATGATTGTGTCTGAAGAGTCTTACTCTATCTGAGGGGAGAGAAGATGGAGCAACTGGAAGTGGATGAAACTGTACTGCAGAGCTGGGGAGGGCATAAAGAGAGGAAGACGCACTGAACAAATAAAGCCAAGGTGACTGCACTGCCTAGCCCACCCTAGCCAGGTGGGGCCCAGGTTGGCCCTGCTTTCTCAGCAGCAAGCCTGACCCCAGGACTGATGTGCATTAGGGGTTCTTAACCTTGGGTCTGGAGTCCCTGGGTGGTACAAATGGTCAATTCACTCAGCTGCTAACTGAACAGTTGGAGGTTTGAGTCCACCCACAGGTGCCTCAGAAGAAAGGCCTAGCGATCTATTTCTGAAAAATCAGCCACTGAAAACCCTATGGAGCACAGTTCTACTCTCACACATGGGGTCGCCATGAGTCAGAATTGACTCAGCAAGTGGTATAACCTGGGGTCCCGGAGGCCCTGAAAGTTTCAAAGGAATAAAGCTGTGGATGGGATCGGCTCCCATACTGAGCCTCTCCCAAACAAAATCCTGGCTGGTTCTGGCACGGAGCAGGACTGTGTGGCCATCACTTCCTGCAAGATGGGGAACTGGAAAGAGTGATACCAGGGGATGTAGGGAAGGGCCTGAGGAGACTTAAGTCCTGAATATTCAGGATTTGAAGTGCTTGACAGGCCCTCTGGCTGGGTCAGGCTGTGCATAGGGTGCCAGTATGTGGCTAGAGATCCCCTATAATCCTAAACTTCTGTGGAGCCCCAGCACTGAGATACTCAGCCTAGCAACCACCCAGAGGGAGAAGGGGGCAGGCATCCCAGTGCCTTGGATTGGGAAGGCACATACTAGCAGGTAGGGGCTGCCCATGGGGAGCTGTGGCCACTAGAGGGAGCCGATGTTCTATAGGACACCATGTTGGACACTGCTGGAGGTGGGGTGGGAGGAATTTCAAGGTTGTACTCTGTGGGCCGCCCACTGAGTTCTTTAAGTTCTGGTCCTGGGCTGCTTCTGCTGTCCAGCCCAGCTCCAGGACTAAAAGGATTTCAGTTTTGTATGGGCAGGGCCCATTTCTCTCTGTCCTTTCCTTCTGGGTCCTTGACACCTCAGTCATTTTCAGTTCAAAGAGCTTCTTGCCCCCTTTCCGTCTCCGTGCCTCTTAATTTCAGTGTGGGCATCTCATCTTTCTTTCATTTCTCTCCTATGTCTTCTCTGCCTAGCAGGACTTTCTGTCCCTGTTGGGGCTCACCATACTTTCTCTGCGCCTCTGTTTTCTCCGAGGTCCATGACTCCCATCTTTCCTCAGTAACTACCAGACTTACTAGGATTACTCTGGTTCTGGTTTGAGCCACATTTCCTAACCAATGTCCTTTCTTTCCTCCCTCCTTGCTCTGTTGCCTTCTCTGACAGCCATGCCCCCCCACCTCCCCCCACCCCAGGTACTGGGTTGGATTGGGTTACAGCTAGCTCTGCCTGGGCCTCCCAGGCCCCTCTCTCCGTTTTCCCTTTGTGCCGTTGCCTGGAGACCAGTGGGTTGTGGGGGGCAGGGGCCAGACGGGAGAGCTGGGGTGAGGGATGGTGAGGTGTGTATATAATGCTCCCAGAAGCTGAATTGTGAGCCTGGCCCTCACATAGTGATGAATTGGAGGGGGTAGGCCCCAATTTCTCTTCCGACTCTCCTCATCCCCACCCCCCTCATTCCTACTTTACACCTAAGTCAGTTTTCCTTTTGGGCTCAGATATATCTGTCATCATCCTTGCTCACCTCTTAGTGGTTAAAGATCAAGAGAGATCTCAGCCTAGAAGGGAGATGGGATGGGCCTGGGCCAGGACCCAGTGGGAGACCGAACTGGGAAGTTCAAAAAGAGAGGAAACACAGTAGGGAGGAGTGTGAGAGGGAAGGAGGAGTCTTGGAACAGAGTTGTGGGGGTGGGGGTGGGGTGGCCAGGAAGAGTGGGGCTATCTGGAACAATAAGGAAAGAAGTCTGAGGAGCACTGAGAGATAGGCTGGACTTGTCTCAGGAAGGCTGGGGAGGGGTAAGGAAGGTGGGCATGGAGTGTAAGTGAGTGCTAACCAATTTGAGAGACTTGAGAGTGGTGATTCATTCCTAGGCAAGGAAGCCTTCTTGTTTCTGTACCCCAGTGTTTTAGAATCCACATAAGAGCTTTTGGGTCCTCCCAGACATTTGTTGGCTGAACCTGGTCCAAGGAAATGTGAGGCGACATCTACTGAGTTACTACAGAGCCAACCTCCTTCCCTCCCAGAAGGCAGGGGATCCTGCCAGTTCGGCCTAACCTTGGTCTCTGGCTGGCCTGACCCCACAAATACTCTACCCCTCACCCCCCTCAAATCTGGAGAGCTGAGGGCTCCTGATCCAGACTCCAGCTCCAGCTCTTCCTGTTTTCCAGCCTGTCTCCCTCCCTTTCTCTGGCCTTCCCAATCTCTGCGGCCAAAAATCACCCAGTGTCTAGATGTCCTTTGTCCTGGGAGATGGAGCTGCTTGGTGTGGGCCCAGGGAGGGAGCCCAGAAGAAGGCAGCTGGTGGGATGCTGGCTTCAAGGCCAAAGACTGGGAATAGCTGGCAGACAGCGTCAGAGACTGCCTGGAGAGCAGTGGAGGGACAAGGAGGGTGGCATTAGGAAGAGCTTTTGGTCTGCAGTGGAGATTGTCTCCACCTTAAAATGGGGTTAGGGAACCAGGACACCTAGGGACTTGGCTCCAAACTGAGCCTAATCCCCACCAACTCCTTCCCTGTGGCCCAAGGCACAATCAGTGGTGACTTCAAACAGATCTGAGAATGAAAATGAAGCCACCAGACAGAAGGGCCTGAGGCTGGTCTCCCACTCCTCCTATAAGTTGTATCCCTTACCCACACCTGAGTATGTCCTCTTCTATGCCTATCATTTCCTTCAAATGCTCTCCCTTCTCTTGTCTTCCCCATCAATGACCCTTCCTCCTCCATATTGCCACCGAAGGCCTTGTTTATTTTTCCAATCTTCTTTAAACCCCCAGAATCCAGCCAGCCCTGTGTCTCCTACTCTCTCGTCCTACCCAGAACCTCAGTCTCCCCTAGAATATGCATCTGGCCCTGCCTCCTTCATCTCTTCTTAAGGTTCCTCATGCTTTCCCTTCCCTCTTCATACTGACATCTCCTCTGGGCTTTTCTCTCCAGCTTTCCTTTATCATCCTTAAATTCTTATATTCCCTATTCTTTTCCCAACACCAATCACCCCCTAAACTCTTTACTCTCTTCCAGAAACTCCATCCTCATGTATATGTCTCCATCCTTTCAATTTCTTCCCTTCTTATGACCCCAAACTTCATCCCATTCTCTTTGGTAATAGCCCCCAAACTCTTCCCTTTGATCTCTGCCACAGACCCAATCACCCCAAGTGTCTTTCACCTTTCCTCATTTCCACACACCTCATTGTCTCCAAAGACCCTGTAGCTCCATTTGTTCAATCTGTCTAACCATTTTACCCCAATCTCTACCCCCCAAACTCCTCCCACTGCACCTCTGCCACAAACCCCGTCGCCCCCAAACTTCTCCAGCCTCCCCCATATCTGTCTTTACAACCCACGGCCCCTCCTGCCCAGCCCTCTCCCACGTCAAGCCCGCGGGCCGCCGACATTCCGCCACGGCAAACCCCTCCCCGCGTCCCGGCCCCCTAGGCCTTGGTCTCGGCCAACTCGCACAGCGCCTCCCCATCTCCGGATCCCCCTCTCTCCCCCCTCGCAGCTTGCCTCGCGCTCCCTCCCTCGCATCTCCCTCCTGGCCCCACTCTTCTCCGTTCCTCCGCGCTCCCTCCTTCTCCCTCTTCCTCCCTTCTCCCATCCCCCTCTCCCAAGCTCCCTCCCTTCGCCGTCCGCTTTCCTGTGCGAGTCGCCGGACGCGCCGCC